AATGGATGAATGAAAAGATGGGAGAACGGCCGCGAATGACCCAAATTTCGGTGACACAAACTAGGGATGGCCTTCAAAAACCGGTTCTTGAAGATCTGACAAATCAATAATATGTACAGTTTTCTTAAAATGCTCAGAAAATCCCGAACGAATCATAAGTATGCAACTGAGTCACGAATTTGAACCCGGAAAACTTTAAGCAACTTGTTCACGTTACATTTAGTTCATAAAGTAAACTCTTTCAAGAGACAAGGCGAATGTTAGGTTTGCTAGCAAGCTGACTGATAAGTAATGCAGCACTGGTCGAAGCAGCTAGAAAAGTTTGTTCCGGAACGATGCTAAAAAATTGCAGCTTATGAAAACAAAAATATCCAGTATAGGCTGGAAAAGAGCTGACTATTTTTGAGGAAGTATAGCCTTCTTTACCTCATCTTCCTTAAATTTAATGAAAAAAAAAATCAATTAAAATCAAAATTACATAGCAGCTATTTATTAATAGGGAAAATCGAGTGCATAAATTAAATTGTTCCAGATATACTGGTGGAGGAAAGCAGGTAACTAGTAATAGCAACAGTTGCGCATACCAATTAAATAACACGAAACGAATGTGCAGAGGAGTGAAACATGTGCTGCAAATGGCGTAAAGGAACGAGTAGGGGAAGAATGAGAGATGAGGGAAGACAGTTGGTAAGGTGCGAGAAGGCTGAAAGTGTATTTGCTCTTCGAGCCCATCAGCACAGGAAGACCGTCAAACTCGTCCAACCATCAGTTTGTATAAATTGGAAAGCACGCTGTTTCTTCATCTTTTTGTATATCTTAAGATATCGCACAGTCTTGGCCCTCTCATTGGGCATAGATTTTACCTCCTCCATCCACAGCCTTACCTCTTTCTTGCCTGCATAAATTCTTATGCATTTTTTAAAAATTAGGTCACGTTTGTTTGTGCATGTGCTATATCTTCTGTGTGGATAATTCAGTCCTGAAGCCAGAAAAGCTAAGATGGAAATCTAATTCCTGAAAGTCGGAGAGGTCACAAATCAAAAATCAAATC